AAATACAGCCATCTTCAGACAATGGGAGTCATCAAGATTCCAAACCATCCTTAATGGCCCACACTTGACATAATTACAATAGGCCCTCAGAGTTATATTTAATATTTCTAGTTTTAGATACAAGAGTGGTACATTTATACAAATAGCATGATCACACTCAGTAGATTATAAACTTTGTAATGATACCTAACAAGAGACCTTTTGCATGAAGCATATTCCAGTTAAATTATATTCACTTATCATATTTTTATAAAACCATACAGACTGCACAACGTCACACCCTCCCAATAGCACTATCATCCCATTTTACAGAAGGAGTCACTGAGACAGAACGGTTCAAGAATGAGTCTAGAAGAAGTTTATGAGGTCTATTTCCCATCTCATCCACTAACTCACTAGGCACCCTTGGATGCAACATTTCTCTCTGCCTCAGTTTACTCATCTTCTCAAACAAAGATCTCCCCTATTTACAACCTATGCTCCTCAGGACAGGGATGTCAACACTTAATTACTAATCAGTTGTTGGACAGAATTGTTTAGCATTTAGCTCCTTTTCCACAAACATGCATCTGAATTTACCTTTTAAAGGGAGAAGAAAATAGCTCATTGGGTCAAAATTATTTTTTACTAATATCGCTGTTTTCATCAAATAGGTTAAATAACAGACTGAAGCAAAGGAGAAACTTGGAGATGGATGGGAATTTTCTGACAAAATGGTTTTTCATTGGAAAACATCAATTCAGCAGAACTGAAACTTTTCGCGTGTAGATGAGGATGAGCAGGGATGCACTGACTGGGCTAATCAGGATTTACCTTTGCTAACTGAGGATTCTCCCTGCTTGAAGACCCTCACCCCCCAGTTCTATTTCTCTCTCAAAGGCAGATCACACCATTTTGTATCACAAGTTGTGAGGAGATCTCCAGTGTAGCTGTGATATTAACCAGCATCCCAGAAATCACAATATGCTGAGAACTTTTATTCTTTGTAATCCCAGACAAATGTCATTTTAACACAGACACACTTGTACCCAGGAGCGACTGGTTGAACTTGCCTATGTCACCCACGGTCCGTTCACTTCCTTTTTTGTACATGTTCATGGACCAGGTGTGAATTTTCATCTCTGAACCCATTTGCATATTTCACACCCTTCCCCTGTGGTGCTGAACTGTTATAAATGCTCCGTGTCACTCGTTATAGTTTGTTGATCAGCATCAGGCCACTCAGACGTATCAAGATGATCTCACAGGCTCAGCTCATCTGTCTGTTAATGCTCTGGATCCCGGGTAAGGATCAAACCCAGAAGGAATTTGATGAATTAAAAGTAAAATTATCCTTATAAAAGCTTAAAAGAACTAGAAATATTGTACATTGTAGATTATAGTTTATGGGTCAATCAAAATCCATTTAGTTAGTTAGCTCTTTGTGGTAGGGACTGTCACTTATTGTTTGTACAGCATCTGGCACAAACGGACCAAAACTGTTAGAGGCGTTCAGGGATTACCAAAATATTAATGTTAAAGAATAAACAGGTGCCAGGACTGACTCTGATTTATGAAAATCTTTAACTTATTTTAGCTTGAATTAAGAAAATGATGTTTGAGAAAATTATGAGCCGTAGTCAAAACAGTTAGAATGAAATGGTGTCTGGAGCTCAATGTTAGCATCACGCCCAGCTGACTAGGGAGAGTCATTGTGTAAAGACGCACATGGGAATATTTTACAGACACAATGTTGTTGAGTTTGATTGACTAGATCTGTATTTGTGTTAACTTCTAGTCTCTTTGTGAATTCAGGCTCCAATGGGCAGATTGTGATGACTCAGACTCCAGAATCCCTGGCAGTGTCTCCAGGAGACACAGTCACTATCAATTGCAAAGCCAGTGAAGGCATTACAGGTGCTTATACCTACTTAGCCTGGTACCAACAGAAATCAGGACAAGCTCCTAAACTCCTTATCTATGATGCTTCCACACGTGCCACTGGGATCCCAGACCGGTTCACAGGCAGTGGATCTGGAACGGATTTCACTCTCACAATCAGCAACGTTCAAGCTGAAGATGTTGGAGATTATTATTGTCAGCAATACCATAGCTCACCTCTCACAGTGATACAGACTAATACAAAAACCTCCCAGTCCATTCCATTCTGTGTCACAGCTGCTTCCTTCAAACAGCCGCCTTCTCAGTGCAAATGCTACACGTTATTCGGGGGCAAACTTTCAGACCCAGAAACACACATACCTGCTGTCTCAACCATGTAATACACATAACTTAGCAGACAGTCTGTTGCTAGAGAATCTTCCCTCCACACAGAAGCGTTTTTAACTTCTCCAAAACCACAGTGGCCTTTTTTTTTTATTTCTGGCTTTAAATTACTTTACTCACCTCCTAATTACTGTCCTCTAGTGTCCGTCCCTTGTCGTGGGGGGACAGCTTGTGTGCTCTAACAATCCTCAGAGTCTGTGTCGGCGGGGGTTTTTTGCTCCTGGTAGGTTCAACCATGCCGGATTGGTCTGTGGGGGAGGGGCCAGACAAAACAAACACCCTGGTCCTCCAGGTTGGGGGTTAGGGACAAGGCCAACCCTGTCCTGTAAAAAGTATATATATATTACGGAAACAGCGACAGAGAAATTACTATGTGTGATGGCTTTCAGGAGTCAAGGACCTGTATAACTGCCAGTGGTGAATGCTGAAAGGAAGCCACTGGCATGAAGACTGAAGTGCTCATCACCAAGACAAAAACCAAACTTGGTTTTTGGAACATACGGACAATGTACGAAATAGGGAACCTAGCTCAGGTCAAAGCAGAGATGAGACGCTACAGCTTCCACATCCTGGGTGTCAGTGAAGCAGATGGATGGGATCAGAAAGATTAACAACAGCCTCAGGAAAAACTTTGCTGTATTCGGGATGGGATGATGGACAACACTATGAGGGTGTGGCCATCCTTTTGAAGAAAGGAGTGGAGCATTCCCTGCCTGAATGGAAATCCAGCAGCAGCAGACTTACGACAGCCAGACTGAAAGGAAAACATAATATCACCCTGATTCAGTGCTATGCTTCCACAAATGACAATGATGAAGAAGTAAAGGACAAATTCTACCTTACATTACAGGCAGAGTTATGGAGAGTACCACGTCAATACCTAACTATTGTCATGGGAGACCTGAATGCCAACCTCGGTAAGAAGAACACAAACAACAACAGAGCAATGGGAAGACATGGGTGTGGAAGCATGAATGAAAATGGAGAGAGGCCTGTTAGTTTCTGTAATAGAAATGACCCAGTCATCGGCGGAACCCTATTTCAACATCGTGAAATTCACAAGCTGACATGGTGTTATGCAAATGGCAGAGATCAGAACCAGATTGACCATATCATGATCACTGGCAAATGGCGACGTTCACTGACAGATGTGAAAGTGATAAGGGGTGCAGATGTTGGCAGCGACCACCACCTTGTGATAGCCTCCATCAAGCTAAAACTGAGAAGTGTGGGTCCAAACAAAGGACATAGACATTATGACATTGACAAGGTAAAGTCCCCTGAAGTAGAGAAAGTCTTCATACTGCAGTTAAAGAACAGGTTTCAGGCACTTTCAGACCTTGATGAAGAGGAGGGGTATGCAGATGAGGAGATCAACAAGAAGTGGAACAAAATAACAATTTATCTAGGCTACAGGTAGAAGAGAAGGAAGGAGTGGATTACACCCAGCAAATGGAACACCACAGAAACCAGATGAGCCCTGAAGAAAAACATTTTAGACACAAAAGCCCAGAAGCTAACGGACAAATATCGCAAGCAGTATAGCAAGGCACACTGGGAGGTCAAACGCCTTGTGAGAGCGGACAAACGTCATTGTATTAATAATCTGGCAACACAAGCAGAAGATGCAGCTGCTCGTGGTGAACAAGGAACCATCTACAAAATGAGGGGGCTTATCAGTGGTAAATGGCAGACACCAACAAACACTCTCATCAGGGACACACATTCCTCACTGAAAGGGGCCCTTTTTCTTCCTTATTCTACGGAGGACCCAGCCCTCTCTCTCCACCAGCAGCATTTCGGTGGAGGTTACTGTTATTCCAGTGTTTGCACATCAATTTACAGCGTTATGACTCTATAATCACAATGGAAAAAGACAAATTCAGGGATCTTTTGAATTAAAGTGCAGAATTTCAGATGATGGCAAAAGGCAGCCCAAAGAATCTGCTGCTGTACGTTGCCCTTTTAAGTAGATTGTCACTCAAAGCAGACAGCAGCAGCAGCCACCAGCAAGCTCCCTCTGTCCCACTCCTGAGCCCTGTTGCATTCCCCCCGCCCCCACAGAGATGGGGTACAGGGACAGGGGAGTGGGAACCCGGCCATCAGCACCCCCATTCCCGCCTGCTCTGCATAGCAAGCAGGAGGCTCCGGGGAGCAGCTCCAAGGCAGAGGGCAGGAGCAGCACGGCAGTGGGCGGAAGGACACCTGAAGTGCGTCGCACTTGATAGCTTGCTGGGCAGCCGCCTGGCCGTGCAGCTTAGAGGGACTTAGGTCAGGACTCACCTACAGAGCCGCACCTGACCAAACAACTGTGACCTCCCATGATTCCACACTCCAATTGGGAAATTGTGATGACTCAGACTATAAAATCCCTGTCAGTGTCTCCAGGATACACAGTCATTATCATCTGCAAGGACAGTTCAAACCTTACCAGAAGCAGCAGAATGAATAACTTTTTCACCTGGCACCATTGCAGTATGAACAAGCTCCTAAATTCCTATCTATTATGCTTCCACATTGCAATCTGGGGTCCCAGCCCCGGTCAGTGGCACTGGATCTGGAAGCAATTTCACTCACAGTCCTGATCTTTAATGTGGGCAGAAGAAACCCATTCAAAAATTTGCAAATGCTGTAAATTGAACCATGAACATTCCTCAGAGAGCTACAGTAATGGATGAATTTTTACATGTCATTGCAGAGAAATAACAGGGGAAATAATGTTATCAGCAACTGGGTACAAGGTTTTAGATTGAAAGATCCTTCTTAAATGTAACATCAGCATCCCTTCCAGGCTACATGGTGTAACGCACATGCAATCATTTATGACAGAATATTGTTTTCTGTGATTGATCACACCCCTGTGTTAACTCAGATTATACATGTAATTTCAGACACCGGGGGCAGATTGGATCAGTATCTCCAGGAAGCAGAGTCACTATTGACTGCAAGGCCGGAGCAGGCATTGCAGTGCTCTAGCTTGCGACCACCAGAAATCTGGGCAAAATCCTAAACTTCAAATGTATCATGCTTGCTATTTTGTCACGGAGATTCCCACCCATTTCAGTGCAATAGATCAGATTTCACATTCACAATCAAATGAAGATGATGGAGATTATTATTGTCAGTAGGTTATGATATCTCCTGCATAATGACATACACAATACAAAACCCTTGTGTATCCATTCCTACCCAAGACCAACCATACCCCGGTTTATGCTGGATTATACCGTAGTGCAGGAAACTCTCAAACAACAGGCTGCAGATGCACAAGGCACCTATAGGAGTGCCTAATCTGCACAGAGTACAGGGGCTGTACAGCCCAAACAACAGGTGGCATTGCCAGGATGAGCATGTGTGTGTAGCATGGTCAGAAACTGTGTTGATTCTCTCTCTCTCTCTCTCTCTCTCATCGACTCCCTAGCAAAATTTAAAATGACCCAACCGCAGAAGGAATCCCAAAGGATGCCAGCAGTAGCAGAACCACATGTTCCAGGCAGGTCTCCGACACCATTTATAATCCCATTGTCGTCAGTGAGAGTTGCAAAGATCAGGGGCTCTGTGTGGTCCTGCACCAGGGCACAGAGAAGGGATGTTTCCTGAGTGGCTACTATGCATATTTAACCTCCTTTAAACAAGAAGCTGAACTTCCACAGAACTGACACCAGATGGCCACATTCAACTACCTTTCCAGTATCGCCCATTGGCCATTCCACGCTTTTCAAAATTAGACCAAATATTTTAGCTGTTAAAATATGGACTGAGGAATCTACCTTTAAATCTCTGGGAATTGTTACCCCAGAATTTGACATTCCTGTGTGGTACCCCAGAATTTGACAGTACTGCAGTCAGCAATTTTGTATGTTCACCCACGGCTAGCTGAAAACCAAACATCCCATAGCTAGGAAAATCTTGGGCTCTGAGAGGCAAGGCCAAATAACAGCATGTTTGCAGTTTTTGCTACCGGAATGGGATGATGAGCTAAGAAGTGAATGTTCCATGAAAATAGAAGGAATGTTTGGACAGCAACCTTGGTCTTAGGGGCCTCTAACATGTATGTTTTATTATGATGTCTAGAAATGTTTTGATAAGAGATAATGAGTAGTTTTGCTGAAAGTAGGAGAATTGGTGACCCACTAGGAGTCACAATAGGCTTTGTTTGAAGTTAGCTATAAAAGATCAGGCAAAATAATTTGCTTGGGAGCAGTCCCAGCAGCTAGACGGGGCCCTCTGAAGCCTGGTCACTGATCCCTCACAACCATTTCTTAACTCTAGGGAAATGCTCTAACCCTACTGCGACAGCATGTGTGTGTGTGTGTGTGTGTGTGTGTGTGCGTGTGCGTGTGCGTGTGTGTGTGTGTGTGTTTGAGATCTAATAAAAAAGTAGTTTTAGATGTAAGCACTCCTGCTTGTGCCAATTGTTTATCAGATGGATGAGGTGTGTTCCCATTGATTTTTTCCTGACACTGCCTGGAGAGAAACAGTTGTTGCCACTGCTTCGGGTTCTGAGAAACTCCAGGTAACAGAATGAGAATCATGGTCTATTTATACAATGCGACATAGAACACAGGAAATGACAGGGCTCACAAACTATTTAATGGGATATCAACCTGTTCCTGTACACTACAGCTACCTTTGGGATCTTAATGGCAGAATAGTCAGGAAACTAAGGTCCCCACAACCCTGTGCATCACAATAAGTTCTTTAAGGTTATGACTAATAAACTCAGAAGGGAGTAGTAGGTAAGGGAGGGGTTAGCCCCAACATAAATCCCCTAATGCAGGGAGATCACATCGATATCTTTTTGAGGAGATTCCTAGTAGAAAAATGATTCTATGGTCATTAAGTGAAAATGAGCAGTAAGGTAATACTGACAGCTGAGAACATTTATTCCCATTCCACCCTGACAAATGCCATTTCAACACAAAGTGAGGGACAGTGACTGTAACCTAATATGTGGTTGTTTAGCACCTAACAAAATAGGGTCCTGCTCCAAATA